CATCAATTTGTAGTTAGTATAGCTTCCCATAGAGTAAAATCTATCGGATAGTTTAAAGTAGGGAGTAGAGGAAGATTATGTTCTTCTGAATCTGGTAATCATAGGTATGTGACAGTAAATCAGATTGTATTCTTCTGTAACTTGTAAATATAGATTTTTTACACTTGATTAACTAATTTTAGACCATCAGTTTGGATCATTGTGCCAATTTTTGTGTAAATATATCAAGTGAAGTTCCTCATTGGATAAGATAGCCTCGTCATTGCACGTAGAGAAGCAGCATGGTAGAGTTATGCACCTGTCAATGGTATAAAATGAGGCAGCGAGATGAGTTCATGTATCTTTCCGGTTGGGAGACGTGTTCCAGTCATTCTCAAGAAGCTACTTATGGCTTGATCACTTGTTATTCTTGAATTGTATATGTCGAGTGAAGGAAAAAGAGCTCCAACATCCAATCTTGGTTGGGGCTTTATACTCCAGCGTTTCATATTCACTACAATCACTGAATCATAGCACCTGTGGAAACTCCTGCCGGACCAAGAACTGCGGTCCTGCTGAGGACCGACACTTTCGTCGACCGACTCCAAATCAAGCAAGTCATTTACATCAAATAAACCGAAAGCCTTTGAAGAAACGATCCGCCAGCACAAGAAACGGGCTTCAGGAGCGCTGCTGAAGAACAAGACATCCCCAATGATAGATTAGGTTGCCCGATGAACAACTTTCGAGATTGCTGCAAAATCCTGTTCGATGTCTGGGATCCTACTTCAGGAAGACAATTGGACTGAGCTTCAGCTAAAGAGTACTCACCTTCGTCATCTTCATCGACATCTTCACCTCATTCTGATAGTAGCAAGTACAAGAACCATCCACGAGCCTCTCTGTCGAGCAACAGTGCTTGCTCATCGACGACAGGAAGCAGGAGAACTAGGATATGTCGAGTAATACCGCTGTTACTCGAGACAGAGGTTCGTGGATGGTTCTTGTGCTTGTTGCTATCAGCTGAACGAGGTGAAGATGACGACGAAGACGATGAGTAATCTTTAGCTGAAGCTCAGTCTATTCTTTCTTTCTTTTTTGGTGGGAAGTTCTTGTTGAGGAATGAACGAAAGAAAGCCGGCAGCAACAGGAGAACAAATGTGAGAAAGCCGCCACCTTCGGCCTATTTATAAACCATGCACTCACAATCATCAATTTTAATCTAATTCAAATTTTCAAAACCAACCTCCCGTATTACTCCTCACGAAGTAAAATCATTCTTAGCAGCATTTTCGAGAGCATGGAATTTCAGTGTTGAATTGCAAATGAATAGGAAATCCTGGCGATCCAGCCGCAAGCAGATGTCGCGAAAGTAATTATCACATGCCTAATTCGACAAATTCATCATGCAGGAGCTTCCTGAAAAGCAGTTCGCTGCCCATTTAATTAGGCCAATGCAAAAAAATTCACGAAAGAACGGACACTCCACACGACAACACGATCGGGGGAGACGGGCGATTGGACAAAGGAAAAGAACAGCGAAAGCCTCTGCGCGCCTATAGAATGTAGATGAAAACAAGTACGGGGAGCATGCCCGAATTCTCACCGGAGAGTTGCGTGCGGAGAGCGGCGCGTGTGCGCTGCGGAATCCTGTTGCAGTGTTTGGTGTCGGCGAGAGGCGGTCTCGAGCTGAGGCCAAGAAGCGAGCGAAAAGGGAGGAGTTTATGGTGGAGTTCAAGAATGTCTTGCGTAGCCATTTCCGGGACTGAAGCGGTAGGACACAAACTAAGAAAACTGCACCTTATTAAGAAAGGAATCTATTAGATTGTCTGCCTATGGTTCGTAGACAGGTTTGTCTTCCATTACATCTTCTTATGCAAGCTCACTCAAATAAATGAATGAAAATTTCAGGACTCAAATTTACGATCGTTTTAAAACTCTAAGGTTTCATGATAAATGAAAAGTGGAGTTCGCACCATCCTCTTGTTCGATATCCTATTTCCGTTCCTACCAATTGCTGCAGCTTTGCTCCGGCACATTCATGAGCGCAACAGTTAGAACACAAATGCCTACACACACATTGCCATCGTCGCACACAACTTCCGTCGTCTTCGCCGATTTCGACATGATCCGTATGTTGTTATCGTCTGACAATCCTCGTAGAAATGCACGGAAGCATCCTCAACATCTTAATGCATGGACAGAACTTTAATGTACAAATTTCTGCGGAAGCATCCTCAACATCTTATTGCAAGGACAGAACTTAATGTACGAAACCCCGCATTTCCATTGGCTTGAGGTCACCTTGTTCGCTTGTGCGGTTGGCTAAGATCAGTTCATAAACATCAGCTCAGCATTATAATCAGATTTGCTTTGAGTTGACGAATGATTTATTGCCCATGAACCCACACAATCCATATGCGTACATGGCCAAGAGTTAATTGGAAGTTGGGAAGGAAACAGAAGCTCATAATGAATCATCAGATTCCTCAAACCTTTGTCGTTGCTCCTTTAGCTTACTTTGATCGTATCACATTCCTTCTTGTTGGACAAGATCTTTTTAAAAAATATGAGAATTTATTCATTTGCTAAAACCGGTGACAAAACATAGCGAGCATCATCCAGCCGACGCTAGTGCAATGCAACAGGCTAGATGGGAAAGAAGCTGGGAGCATCTTTTCCCCTGTGCTCGAGTAGATTAGTTTGTGGTAGACATGGCCACGGGCCGGTTTCGGCCTGGAACCGGCCCGGGTCAAACCCGGGACCGGCCCGTTGATAGGGCCCGCGGTTCGGAATCGGAACCGGCCCGTGGCCTACGGGCCCGATTCCAGTTCCAACAATTTTGGAACCGGCCCGGAACCGCCGGTTCCGGGCCTGATTCCCAAAAAAAAAAATTTGCAAATTTATTTTTTTCTCTTTTTTTCCTCAAATTTGATTACAATGTACATTTTGATTACATTTTGTATTGAATAATTCATTATTTCATAATTGATAATTCATTATTTTTATTTCATAATTTATTTTTTAAATTTTTACCGCCGCTTCCGAACCGGGCCGGACCAATCGGCCGAATCGCTGGCCTTGGTTTATACTGCCACGAACCGGAACCGCCGGTTCCAAATTGGAACGGGTCGGTTCCAAACCGTGGCCATGCCTAGTTTGTGGTCCCGGAAGTAAGAAATAAATTAATAAGAACTGAAGCCAACAATGATGCAGAACAACCTCCCAAAAGGAAAAGATGCGGTGGCAAATGGATATTGAGCTATCAGCTCTACCATGAAATAGGGGTTGGTTCAATTGAATGCGTATGATAGCTCGGGATGTCATTATTCTAAACGCCTTAGCCCAAAGCATATCCGGAGGTAGTTTGGGAATGCTGCATTTTCGGAACGTAAATAGACTTTTTATTTCTTCCAATTTTAGTCTTACTGCGTACTTTCATGATTACGGAAATGTCCTCGAAAATCCTAACATTACCGACGAGCCCGAGAGCTAACCTGACATTCTCTAAGGATCGTGTTCTTCGCCGCGACTGGACACATAAATACAATCCGAATCTATAAGAGCTCCGTTACATTCTCTATGAACGTACATATATATGCCTCATCTAAAACACGCATTTAACTTACGCTTTAGAATAGTCGGCACTAGTTCTGCAAAATTATACATCATGTCAAAATGAAAGACTATGAGCCCGAATTGCCACCCGATTATATATTTTCACCATTTAGTTTTAGGTTAAATTAGTCCGACCGATGCCAAAAGGGAGTGATTAAATTTATAATGTTTGAACCTTGCCTTTGTAGGAGTTGTATAATCAAGTCGTTCCGTTGGCTCCGCCAATTCAACGTGACAAAAAAAATAAATTCTCCGTAGCTTATTTGAGTCATTCCACTTTTCTAGGTGACCTTTGGATACATATCAAGTATAAGTTACAGGCATTTCGAAGCACTAATCCCTTAAATAAAAATGATGCATGACTGAATGCATCGAATTTAACTTTTAACACAGTTTCTTCTTGATGACATAAACTTGGGCATGTTGGCTTGAGATAGATGTCCTAAACGTGTGGGCTAGATGAGATCGCTTGTTAGGGTAAAGAGTTCTTTGAGTTCCTCCAGCACAATATTGGGCAATAGCTGAGTTTGATGCGAGAAGGTGTCGAGTGTACGCATGAGGGTATTAAGCCAAAGAAATCTCACATTAGAAATGCGGCGGAAGGTAGAGCGGTTAATGCATCGACTCGGGCTTTCTCCTGATAATCTCCTTAGATGAAGATATCGGGTTGCTACTGTTGATATCAGAGCCGGTTGTTTCGATGGGTTAGGCCGAAGCACGTGTGAAATGACTTTCTGTAATTACCTTAAGAAATGAATCTCGAGGTGGTGGATCATGTTCCCTGGCTTCTTGCGGAACTTGGCTGGATCAAAGGTAATTGAATTAGAGTTTGAAGGGCATGTGTTGTTGCTCTTTTAAACCTGCAAACTTGGTCGAAACAAGGTAGACGTTTGAGTTGAGAATTGACAAATGTCATTATCATGGATTTAATGTAGGTTTATTTCACCGGAGGTTTTGCTCCATCCAAAAATGACTTTGGATACGTGACACGATCGCAGGTTATTCTTGTCCATTAGGGATGTTTAAGATATTTATGGCTTGATAGATTCGGAATCAGGCTCGTTAGGGATGATCCAGTCTACTTTATGCTTAAATAAATCTTATCAAGTAATTCGCGAATTCTCTGATCGAGTTCTCCCCGACACCAAATTCGACAAAATTCACTTGATACAATCGCCGTGCAATGCCAAAGTATGATGAGGCAAATTAAAACATGTCGATGCCCGAACGGAGATAAGAGTATGACGTGAATAAAACTCGAGCCAGCACTTTGGGAAAATCGCACCCCGACGCCGTTCGATAGGGCATTGGATTTAGCCGGATTTGGTACCGGAGGGACGTGATTACAAACTTAATAAAAGCACAAGAACTTGGTTAAGATTAAGCATAAAAATACGAACTTTAAGCCCTATACACCAATTAGCAGAGGCGTGAGAGAGACATACAGAGAGACCGGAATAGACCTTCGAACCGTCATCTTCTTCAATGGCGAACCTCCCTTTCCTACGCCGGGCCGCTCTCAAAACCCTAGCTTTGCGACCCGGGAACCCGCCCGCCCTCCTCCGCCGGCGGTCTCTCTCTTCCGGAGGCGGCGCCGCCGCCGACGACCCACCGTTCTCCCCGAAACCCATCGGCAGAACCCCAAAACCCCAGAAGAGCAGAACCCGGAAGGAGGAGCCCCCGGAATCGAGCCCGGGCGACCCGGAACGCCCGGTCGAGTCGGACCTCCCCTTCGATTTCAGATACTCGTACTCGGAGACGAATGCCGCCGTCGAGCCCATCGGGTTCCGCGAGCCGCCGCGGTTCTCTCCGTTCGGGCCTGGTCGGATCGATAGGGCTTGGACTGGGACTTCCGCGCCGGCCCGAGAAGCGCTGGACCCGGAGGAGGCGGCGGCGGAGAGGGGTCGGGTTCAAGGAGCTCCGCTTTCGGAGGAGGAAATCGCGGAGCTCGTGGAGCGATATCGGCATAGCGATTGCAATCGCCAGATTAATCTGGGTAATTGTGTGGTTTCTGTTCCTGCTTTGTAATTATAATTCTGATGATCCCTGAGGCCCCAGATGATGAGATGAACTGATGCTGAGTGTAGATTGTAGAATTTTTGTGAAAATCTATGTGTTGATGAAAGAAACTAACCTGCTTTTGGATACTTTATGTAAGTTTTGATTTTGATTGATTGGTTTGGCTTTGCTACTAATTGGAGGAGCCTCTAGCATTTGGGTTAGCATTCTTTGCATTAGTATAGTTGCTGTACTTGAGAGCTGTACCGATTCTGCTTGTGGATATTTTGGTAATGACATGAGTGCATTAGGGCGAGATAAGAAATTTTTCGAATCGTTCACATGCGCGGTGAAGTCAGGGCCAGATGGACATTCATAATTAGTAATTTGGGTGCAAGCTATGTTCTTCGGTGGAATTGAATATATCGACCTAGTTTGAGATTACTAATTTTTGGATATGGGCAGAATATGGAAGTTGTGTCGAGAAGAGTTAATGAGTGAAATTGCTGTGCTTTGTTGTTATGTCTTTTCTTTTGTGCTTTGTAGAATGTTCTTTTACGTCTGACTACACTTTGATTGATGTCATTATTTTCGCGCAGGCAAAGGAGGAGTTACTCACAATATGTTGGATGATATCCACAATCACTGGAAGAGAGCTGAAGCAGTTAGGATTAAGTGCCTGGGAGTTCCGACACTTGACATGGACAATGTTTGCTTTCACCTCGAGGTATTAACTGAATGAACTGATTGAGAATACGATAAGACCCTTTTGCTTTTTCAATGTCTCTTATTTGACGGGTTACCAGTTTTCTCAAAGGACAAATCTGGCGGGAAGATAATTTACCGCAATATCAACATCCTCCTCTTGTATCGTGGTCGATATTATGATCCGAAGCAAAGACCAGTTATACCTCTCATGCTGTGGAAGCCCTATGCACCAATATACCCGAAGCTTGTGAAGAATGTTGCGGAAGGGTTGACATTTGAGGAAACAAAAGAAATGAGAAACAGAGGACTGAACTCTCCCCCTTTAACGAAACTTAGTGAGTAAACTTGTCTCCAATGGCTTAGCCTTTTACTAGGGTCTACTTTTTTCTTACTTGCTATAATCGATCTCAATATGACATGATAAACTTTTCATTGTATATTAGCGAGGAATGGCGTGTATGTCAATGTAGTGGAGAAAGTGAGGGAAGCATTCAAGTCTGAAGACGTTGTGAGGTTAGACTGCAAACATGTGGGTACAAGTGACTGCAAACTGATTGGCGTGAAACTTAGAGTATGCTCTTTAAATCTCGTCGTGTTTTTCTTCCTTTTCTGTTTAACTTTTTTATGAACATCTTGGTCTGTATCTTTTTTTTAGAAGACCTTAGATCAAATTATGTCTGTTCTACACCCGTGCAGGATTTGGTACCTTGCGTTCCTATATTATTTAAGGACGAGCAGATCATCCTCTGGAGGGGGAAGAGAGATACCGAATCAACCTCCACATCACATGCATGACCATAAATTAGACATACTGCGAGAACTACCAGGACAATTGGTTGGGATGTTGTACACATCACACTAGAGTAATTTTACTGGCGGAGACTCTAGGTAAGCCAGCCGACGCATCCACATGCACGGTGCCTGTTAAAGAGACTATTGCATCATCTTTGGTATCAGATGCTTCAGATGAAGCATGCTGCATTAGCAACACAGGCTTGTTTGCTCATACACATTTAAATTTCTTAAACCATGTGCAGATATTGTGGGGTACGATAAATCGAGATGCCGTTGCTTGGATGAAGACATTGGGCAAGATGGCCCTAGGCCTTAAAGAAACGTGACTGCATTTCTTTTGGTACACACTCGCTCTCAATTTGAGGTTAGAGGATGGGAATGCTAGAGTTTGAGCTGGCAACTCCTCCATGACAATGTACTGTGGTCCATGACCTTTTGTTTCTTGAAGTAGTTGGGACTTACATCCCGGGTTTTGCGTTCCCTTTCATCTCATTAGGCTGTGATATGTAAATTGATTATACGAATTGCTATATTGATTCTGATGAAAAGGGATCTTGCTTGGTAAGTGATAAAACTACAGAGTTCTATATTCATTGTCATGCTTTAAGCCCTTGTATCTTTCGCGATAGCGATGCTGGATCAAGATTACTCTTAGCTTGCGAATGCTGTTCGGTATCATATGGTTACGGCGACCAATAAGAGCCACTGAGGTTGGTGTAGGGTTGGAGCAGAGAAAGAATCAAAGGATAGTACACGGGTCACTGGTGGTTTATGGATAAATACATGTGTGTGTGTGTGTTCAAGGTTGATATGGCCGTGAAGTCGCTACTAAATGTCAAAAACGAAAAAAAAAAATCCGATAAGCATATTATTAAATAAAGAAAAAAGGAAATTGAAAAAAAACAAAAAGCGGATGAAGATGAGGCAAGGCACCGCGGAGGGTCGCGTAACCCTAGTCGAGGCTAGATTCGACCGACGTCTGTTAGGATAGGGCAACCCCTACCAGGCATCGCCTAGGATTGTGTGACCCCAAAGAAGCAACTTTGAGATTGCACAACCACAAGACCCCGGCAATCGGTGGCTGAGGTTAGGCGACCTCACTTGTCATCCGGCCCAGGGTCGCGAGACCCCAAGCCAAATCTGACCTTTTACTTATAAACAAGCCAAATCTGACCGTTTCCTTATAAACAAAAGTTTGAAATGTTTAATATGAAGTATTTAAAACATGCATCTCTCGATTGAGTTAAAAGTCAAAGTATAAATTAAACTCGAGTAAAGATTTTTTTTACTGTCATTTATATATTGGGGAAATTTTATTTATTTTTATTTCGATTGGACGTAAATAAGTAACATTTTACTTGAAAAAGTCGGAACAAATCAGAATCTACTATTTTCAGTACGTAGTTTTTGCTTTTCAAGAAACAATCTATCTCGATAGAAAATAATAATAATAATGTAACTCATATTAGATCTCACAAGATAGATATGTCATTCACTTATATATCTTGCATTATCATTTATATCAGTCACTTGTATCTTTTGCATCATTATTGGTCTTTTCATTTTTCTCTGAACTTCATTTGGGTTTTTACTCAAAGACCAGAGTTCTAATAGAGAGGCCTAAGACAGCATAGCCTGCATAGGATTTTTCCAATTGGGAAGATGTAAAGTAGAAGAGAGTTATAACCCAATTACAAAAAGAGCCAACGAGAGAAGCATCCTAGAGGGAGCAAATAGGGACAGGTACCCAGAGAGAGAGAGAGTGCAACCGAAGACAATCTTACACGGTTGCTTTGCACAAATCTATGTTTCTTGCGTATACAGAGAGAGAGAGAGAGCAACCGTCATCTATGGCAGTCGGGTCCTGTCCATGGGGCTCAGTCCGTGCAAGCATTTCTCACGATCGTGGGCGACCATAGACCCTTCGGGCAAGCTTCAAGCAATCCAGCCAATGCAGGACCTCCGCATTCGGGTCCCGCTCGGCGGCGACGCTCGACACCGTGATCTGCACCGCGCCCCGGTAGCTCGTGATCCTGCCCCGCACCCGAGCGACCGAGCCCAGCTTCACCAGCGAGGCCTGGCCATTCGCCATATCGGCAATCAGTCGAACACCTTGCGGGCGCTGGCGGGCGAAGTAGGGAGAGGTGGCGTGGTTGAGCCAGAGGACGCAGGGGACGCAGCCGGTGCCGTCGTCGACCGCGAACTTGAGGAAGCGGTCGGGCTTGTGCTCGCGGGAGACGACGACGCCGAGGGCCTCGGCGCGGGAAAGGGAGGCGCCGTCGCGGGAGAAGGTCGGGGGGTTGGTCGGGGATTGGGCCAGGGAGAGGAGGTCGAAGGCTAGGAGCTTGACGTGGACGAGGGATAGTGATTTGTCCATGACACACAGAGAGAGCGAGAAACGTGTCTATGGATGATAACCAGCGATCATTCTTTTGAAGGAATCTACGTGGGTTGTTCTCGACTAGACCCGTGAAATGGGTTGTCAGGTCGGGTCGAAAATGGTCGAACTTAAATGGACTCATTTTAATCCATTTTTATTTTTATGTAAAATAAATTTAGTGACCTGGCATGACCCGACTCAATACATTTTATATTCAATTTAATATAGGAAAATTCATACTTAAATTGAGATGAGAGTAAAGAATGAAAGAACACAAGATTAAGTGAAAGCGAAATATAGTGAAAAGAGATGATTGGATCTAAGTAAGATCCATTTAATATTCATATTATTTTTAAATTCATTTATGACCGATTTATTGAATATAATTAATCCATATAATAACCCACCTTACTAAATATAAGTTAAGAAATAGATCTATGATCCATTTTGATATGTTTATTCTCGACATGTTCGTTTTACTTGTTTCATCCATTTGATCCTTGTTAGTTAAATTGAAGCGATGACCTATTCGTTATACCACTCTGATTAGTGACGTAGCTTAACTATTGCATAAACTAAGTTAGACTTAGATTAACCGGTCTGCACGAGACCTCCCATTAGAACTACCATGATTCGTCCATCCCGTGTCATAGTAAGTAGCAGAGAAAACAAAGACACGAGTCCATAGGCCGAAAGCCATCTGATGTATGAAACATCCGCTAATGAATCCCCAACAATGTTACATGTTTTACAGGTCCCATCAATTCCACCAACAAACGAGAGCAGAATTTGCGCATTTGGCTCCGTAAATATACAATGTAACAAATAGAGTTTGATACATTTAATTGACCACCTTTCCCCGCCGGCATTGAGTGACCACCCTCCTAACCTCTCCTGTTCCACCGAGCACTTCCACTCCTCGTCGAAAACGAGCACCATCTCCTTATTTAACCAGCAGCGATGCCGCTAAGCCACAGACGATCACTGTCGTCGTAACAATTTGTCACGTGCACTGATTTGTTCGTTTTGAATTATTCCTTCTGCTCTGAATGCTATTCCTGCGAGCAATATCAGGAGAAATTGTCAACCTGTCTTCATTTAGATTTGTTGGTTCGTTGAAAATGTTCGTTGTAAAGAAATTGCTAACCTTGATGCTGAAGAGAACACTACCGTCAGGAACCTGTTGACCAGCAGTTACGGCAAGCCCATGAACGTGCCCAGCAGACTGTGCTTTGACAACATGCTGTGACGGACGGGAACTTTAAGTTCTTCCATACAGGGGAACATAAAGGTGAAATGTAGCAGGTGAAACTAACACTACCGCATACCTCCATTTTCATTGCTTCTAAAACCAATATAGGTTGACCTTCCTCCACTCGCATCCCATCCTTCGCCAGGACCTTAACCACTAACCCTGCCATTGGTGCCACTACCGTTCCCTGTGGATGTGATGCCGTCTCAAAACTGGGTTTGTGCTGGCTGTCGTCGTCGTCAAACAATGGTTGTCCCAGTTTCTGTCTGAAATGATGATGTTTAGACCCGTGCCAGATATGAATATGCTTATCCAAATCCTGCCAAAACAAAAAATCCTTCATTAACAGAAGAGGATGAAGCATATAATCAATTACTCTCAAACTTATCAGGTAACACAGGACATTGACCATCCCTCAACAAAGTTTCAGATTTCGATCTTTGATTTGGAGCTGAAGTCGTACTTAAACCAAAGTAGAGTGAAGATAATCAACTAGAATTTGAGCTCAATCATGTGCACATGGAATACCGTGTCAAGTTGAGCTGACTAAAACTTATGCTGAAGTGTACACCCCCGAAGATAAAGGTGCGACACCCCGAGTTTTATGGTTTAGTTGAATACGAATAAGTATGACTCAACTCAATCTTTCATAACGAAATATATACTTGCCAGACATATGGTTAAGCATTTAATGATGGTCTAAAATGCACAAAAAATTGGGACTAAGTTTACCCACCCTACTTATACAACTAAGGTCAGAAAACTTCCTAAGATTAATTAAGGTTATTCTTCGTCTATACTATATTCAAATTATTTGAGGCATTCATACTTTTCATTTGCAAGTGAATGGCATTTTCTTGCTTAGTGTTGTTTGTTATTTTCTATTACTTTTGTAACTTCATTTGCTTACAAATGCTCATTGATAATTCTATGGACCTCCCTATTGGCTTGCATCAGAAAAACGAAAAAGAAAACTAAATGTGAAATTTGGAAAATTATGGTTAAGAAAAGCATGGCGAACCAATTATGGTTAATGGAGACTAAATGATGGGCTTAGTGCAATCTTTACAGAGAAAGTACTTACAGGAACACACCACAACCATCTAAATTTTGGGGCATATGATTTTTCTCCCCAATAATAATTTTGATATGCAACTACACAAAATATCACAAGTAAAAGGACAGTACAGTCAGAACAGATTCATACCTTCTCGTAAGTCGCTAAACTAACTTGAACATTGACACCATCGAATTCAACTCTAAAATCATGGTTGCCTAGGCATGTCGCTTTGACATGAAAGCCCAAGGAATTACCTTCTCCTTCTACCTGTGAGAAATGAAGAGCATAATGAGTTTCATCAATGCAAATGATGCTTGATTCATCGGTAACAATTGAAAATTCATAATAAACTAGAATGCCGGAACAAAGAACCGTACTATATTTTTGGAGTGCTTTTACAGTTAATTCTAATATTTAACTTACTGCAGATAGGAAAGTACCTCGATATCATATTGCCCATCAGCCTCATAAGTAAGAGAAATCACCAGCGGTTTTGAGCCAGTGCCATTATAATCGTTATCCCACTGAAATTCAAAGACACGCTTCGCACAGTGATTGACTCGAAAAGGGGGATTACCATACCATATGGAGTTTAATCCATTGCCTCCTGAACATAGAGAAATTTCACATTATAAGGAATTATTAACAAAGAATGAAAGACCATACAATCACATAGCACATTGAATTCACCAGGCAAACCTTCTCTAAAATTTGAATGTTCCTTATTGCAAATGCACGCAGCAACCAGGGCTGCACCATATATAGCCTCCTCATATGCCTCTTTTTCATGACAGGAGTCATCAAAGAGGTCATCTTTAAAGTTCTCGATGAAATGAGTTTCCACATTTCCATCCTCAAATGCCCAATGATTAGCAAGCTTTCTGAGAAAATTTATATTGGTTGGAAGGCCTGCAACCTGTCAAAGTTGATCATCTGAGACTAAAGCAAAAGAAACTTCTAAAGAAGGAAAAGATAGAAACTTCCAAACAATTAAGTTCAAATTAATTTGTGAAGTAGTCATCAGAAGGACAGCACTCATCATGTCATGGATGTGTTTCATTATTGTGCTTCATTTAATTTTGGAATGTCATAGGACAACTCAAGAAGGGAAGTTTAGTCCAGCCGGAAGAACTATCAAACTACTGATCCATGTAAATATATTTGATAGTTCAAAAGAATCATTATAAGTACTTTGCTCTTAGCTAAGAACTGATATCTTCATAACAGATACCTGAAACTTTGACAAGCTATCCTTCAGTTTAACCAGCGCTGCACTCCGGCTTTCTCCCCATACAACAAGCTTCGCAATCATAGGATCATAATGCATGCTAACAGCATCTCCTTTTTCAACTCCAGTATCGACCCTCACTGCTAGATGACATATCCAGCACATTATGGCGAACTCAGCACTATTAAAGCTTTTCAAAAGAACAGGAAGAGTTTCTTAAAGGAAAATCCTTATAAGCATTACAATTCTTCATTTGAAAAGCGTAAGAGAGATCTTCAAACAACGTCAAATTATCTGATGAAAATTTAGCTAGATCTCTGATGTAACTGACCACTTGATGTGCCTGGAACAGGACGATAGTGATGAAGGACTCCAGTCGCTGGAAGAAATCCTTTAGGAACATTTTCAGCATATATTCTGGCTTCAAATGCATGACCTGTCATCAAGAATACGAATAAGAAGATAGCATGTACTCTTATTCTGAATATATATTCTTTTGCCAAAGTTTATAAAAAAGAAGGACAACTGTTTATAGAGAACATCTAAACTATTTACCCAAGCCAAATTGTACTTCTACTTGCCAATAACCGAATGGCAATATGCTGCCATATAATAGGCCACTCAAAAGAAAAACTTAATGAAGATTTCACTTGGAAATAAACTACTTCTTCCGTGCAACCCTTACCTACTTGCAACCCCGCCCAACAAAAAAGCAGAAGAGGGACGTATTTTACATATATCTCCATAACTATATCTCTGAACATGTGTGCCTGCACGCGCTCATGCACGTGCACAGGCCCATTATCAAGAGTGTATTGCACAGGTCATCTAGTGTTCAACTACATCATCACAAGTCAATAATGAACACAAATCCAGAGAAAAGATAGGAAGTAATTTGGTAAGACTTTATGGAAAGAATAACCGACCTAACAATGGAACCTCTGACTGATCAATGGGAAGGGGTTCACCGTTGGCAACACGAATTTGCCACTCAACAAGGTCTTGACCGACAATCATCTCGGTCACAGGATGCTCAACCTGGCAGAGAATACAAAACAAACTTTAGAAAGATTCCATCTGTGACGTAAGTTCAGAAATTAGACAGATACAATCATCAAAGCACCTGTAGACGGGTATTCATCTCCATGAAGTAAAATTGGCCAGAAGCAGTATCAACTATGAACTCCACAGTGCCAGCATTGTGATAATTTACTGCCTTCACATATTTTAAAGAAACTTTGCCTCAATGTTCCAAGAGCAAACATAAAACCGTTAAGCAGTTCATTAGAATCATGATGAAAGAAGACTGATAACTAACCAAGATCAGCATTCAGCTACCATATAAGTAAGCCATTAGCCACATGATCTTTGTATGGTAAGCTAAACAAGACAATGGAACTTTGGCTTTGGTGAATCCAAAGACCAAAAGTTCATCAATAATCTCATGCACTCAGAAAACAATAATTCTTCGTCCACACAAACACAAGAAATCAAAACTATTGACTTACATGCAGGACTCAAAAAGATAAGAGGGACAAATCTCATTTGCACTAACATCATACCTAGCAGTAGGGTACATTTTTCGAAATGGAAACTAAATCCAGAATTATTTAGTTGGACCCTAAATTTAGCAGCGGCTAGTCCGTATGCCAACGTCTATCCCTAGACTTGGGCAAAGCCAATTTCAAGTCCGATCAAAAGAGAAAGGAAGTAAGTTTTAACAGTGAAATTTGCTGCTAAGGTTAGGATACTTCCTTGAAGTTCATGGCATACGCATGAATGGCAAGAGATAGGCAAGAGCTGTTTTACTGGCACCTAGACCAAAAGGCAATGGTATTCAAATAAAAAAAGACTGCAAAGGTTAATCACATAAGTCCATCTAAGACCACTTTTATACTGAGCAGACACCAAAGACACAGAGACAGAATTTCTCAGTAGAATGCAAATTCTGGTGCCTAGGTCCATATTGGCACCTGGTCCTCTTCTTTGTTCTACCACTTCATTGTCCAATGTTTGCCTATTTTGCAAGTAAATATGGCATTGGTGACACATATACACCATATATATATATTATTTTATAGACTATATTCTGAACTGGATAGTTATCTCAATCGTAGTCCTTTGCTTGCAAAAGGGCATTGAGAGAAAACAGCCTGCAAAGCTAACATATTCAATCTAATGGTGCGGGTTTTACAAAATAATACAGTTTCTAATCAATTTGGATACAGTACCTTGGCTGCGGAAACAGCAGCTTGACCCAAGTGGGCGCGGAAGTCACTAGAGACATTTGGCTGCACCAATGGCACTCTCATTACAGTCTAGCAGTTCCAAATTGTGAAAACCAAGTTTAGAATCAAAATGCAGTTCTTACAGCAGGAGCTTCTTCAATAATCTTCTGATGTCTTCTTTGTACACTGCAATCTCTCTCATTTAAGTGGAGTATGTTCCCGTACTTGTCTCCAAATATCTAAAACAATAAGCGAAACAATTTAGCCGGTCACAACAAATTCATAAAGATCGATCAGGCAAGTTCAAACGGATGGATATGTTGCTCCAGACATAAAACTTCAGATAAATAAGAGAAAAGGAACAAGAGACCACTTGGGCTCAAGGACATGACCGACAAAGAGAACAAATGCTTTCTGTGCAAATGCTTTTCGTCTTATCAGCATTATAGGTACCTGGACTTCTATATGTCTTGGCCTTGTGATATATTTCTCCAGTAAGATCTTGTCTACGCCAAAAGAAGCAGCAGCCTCACGTTGTGCTCCTAAGAAGGACTCGACGAATTCATTTGCACTTTGAACAATCCTCATACCCTATATGTATGAACAATAAGTTGTGACATAGTAACAGCCTCAAGGAAAAAGAAAAGGAAAGCTAAACGCATTCGAATATGATGTCAAACTCTAGATCTCTAAGAACATTAGATGCATCGGTGATCTATTTGACATAGAAAAAAAACATACCTTCCCCCCACCTCCATGTGTTGGTTTTATCAAAATGGGATAACCGATCTTCTCTGCTTCCGACCTCATAAAGTCAATGTCCTGTTCATCACCATGATACCCAGGCACAAGCGGAACCCCAGCAGAACCCATTATCTTTTTTGATGCACTGGATAAACATATATTATCACTCAAAGAATAAAAATACAGAATTCTTGTCTCCCATATGAAAGTAATTAAGCAGACCCAATTAGTATCAAAACAGTGAACATACGATGGCAGAAGGTTCCTCATTCATACCTTTTGTCACCCATGTCTCTAATAGCTGATGCAGGAGGACCAATAAAAGTGAGGCCATTTTCTTCACAGAGCTGAGCAAATTCAGCTGACTCTGACAGAAAACCATATCCAGGGTGGATAGCCTAGTTATCAAAAAAGATAGCCATGCTGAAAGCATGCCCCACACGTAGTAACAAATTAGGCAATTGCAATCTACTGAATTAACAGAGATTAAGTTAATATAGAGCCGATATCCACAACCCTTCAACCGCTCTCTCAGCCAACAGAAGGCCACCCAACTTGGCATTTAGAGCAACACACATACAGACAAGAAACAATGGGAAATGTTGAATCGTCCAGAGAATTGGAAACAATTTGACACACAGAAATGCTCCCTCAGCATTCATCAGGATACCGTATATAATTTCATCGCCCGTCTAAAATTCACGATGCGGAAGAGTAGCAGCAAGTTCACCGAGGCAACGCTTAATGGGAATCACTGAGCTCCAATACTTGAAACTCACGCTCTCACGAGTTTCCTTCACCGTCACCAATTCCATACACTCCAAGCTAACAACCACTGCTCCAACGAACACGATCATTTCTCACAACCAGAATCAAACATCCCGCCACGCCACGTGCGAAATCCCGCAATCCTCCAATCGCAGCAGCGATTACACGCGTTTCAAACACACGGTTAGTTTCTCGAACCACTCACCTGAGCACCGGTGCGAAGAGCGGCCTCGACGATGGACGCTCCACCGAGGTAGCTGAGGCGAGCCGGAGCGGGGCCGATGCGGACGGCCTCGTCGGCGGACCTGACGTGGAGAGCGCCGGCGTCGGCGTCGCTGTAAACGGCGACGGTCCGGATCCCCAGCCTCCTCGCCGTCCTCATGATCCTGCAAGCTATCTCGCCCCGGTTCGCGACCAGTATCTTCTCGACGGGCTTCGGCTTCGAGGCCCGCTGCTTCGCAGCAGCCGCCGCCGCCGCCGGCGAATGGGAGAAGAGCCTCGCGCGGAGGAGGAGGGAGGAGGTTCGGCCATGGAGGTTGCGTCGGAGGATCAGCAACGCCATCGAAGAAGGCATGATTAGAGAGAGAGAGAGAGAATAGCGTCTTGGGGCTTCGCACTAGTAGTAGCTGCGAGAGCGATGCTCTTTTATACGACGTCGTCGTCTAGGAGGACAGGGAGAGCTCGGATTTGCGTCTGACGTGGAGATGACCTGGCATCGCCACTTCGACCGGATAATTCCCTTGTGGACCCCACACTCGGGTCAACGGTCAAATACTTTCCTTTTTGGGTTTTGTTTAGGGAAAACCATGAACTTTGACCCAATGTGTAATTTGGTCCCTGAACTTTTAATTTGTTCAATGTATGAACAAATTAAAAGTTCATGGACCAAATTGCACATTAAGTCAAAGTTCAGGGACTATTTGTGTCATTATCCCTTTTGTTTATTGTCTGTTTACTTTTCATCTGGTAGGGGAGGGTTAGAAAGGGCGGAAAAGAACAAGGTTTTTTTTTCTTATTTTATAAAAAGGGCCTTTGTTAATAAATGCCTTTGAAATATTAGCATATTTGATTTGTTATAACTTAAATTAATATCGGTTTCACATAGTACAAGGGCGGCCTCCGTATCAGGAACCGTAAAATTCCGTCGATCATGTGGCTGATAAAGGTTATTAGGGTGCCTATCGACAAAATCCTTTAAATAATTTATTATGAAAATGGAGGGAAATGAGCTAGAGGGTTGGGTTTTAAGGTTGTTTGTACATGCTAGCGATGGAAATGAATGGAAAAATGATGGGTCATGACATAAATAACCTTTTTTCCATATTTAAAACTAAAGATAAAATAAAAGAATCGAGGGAGAAAAAGTAAAAAAAAATTATTAATACACAGACCCCTCCAAATTTTACCCTATCAAACAGATTCGGAGGATGCAACAATATATATACACACACATTAAATTTGCTCCTTCAAATCCTTATTATCCTTTCTTTTCTTTTGCTTTGGCTTCCTCCCTCCATTCAACTAACAATTTGTTTCCAAGATGAACCCTCTTCTCTCATAGTCTCTATCTATCGACTATCGGTGCGAACTAGAAGAATTTATACACATAAATAGGTATTGTTACCGTTAAGATCGTTTAGAGCTATTTACAACAGCACCCCCGTTTTACCGATGACGATACGCCTAATGTTAAAATCATATGGAGCGATGCACACGTAATTGCACAACCCAAATGAATACATGCTTCTACACGTCTCTGCATGGAGATTGCACTGAACTCCTCTATGCTCACTCGTTCCCCGTTGCTCTGAATCCTGGAAGGAGTTAGTGGCTTGAGCTGACGGTTCAGGAGGGGACTCATTCAAAGGTGACAGCTTGGTGTCGTTCATTTGCTTTCCAACGCCAAAACATCTAGCCTTCCTGAAACATCCACATTCTCCAAGGTGCATTGAGAGTCTGTCATCAAAGCTGCCAATCATCTCTAACAGGATTCCCCATCATGCCTTCGAGCTTTCTAAGCATTCCCTTGACTTTAGCAGCAGGATCCTCTGCGCCTCAGCTTCTACCTCACTCTCTTTCAAGTTCATCCTCCTCCTGCATCTCTGTCCTTTGCTTCTCGCGATAACTCCTTTTCACTTCCTTTTCCTCGAACTCTCAGTTTTGATCTTCTCGGCCATCTTTTTCCGTACTTTTGCTGCAGAGGGATCCTTCTTGTAAGAGGTGTATCCTCATCATCATCATCAAGAAGGATCAGATATGACCGTCCTTATCTTTCAAGCCTTCTTCAGTTAATGCCAACACCATCCTTATCTTTTGGGCAAGATACCATCATCTATGCACCCTTTTTTAGAACACTATCCCTAATCAACATTCTCATAACAAGGGATCCATAGGGAATAGTTCCTCGAAACCTTTTCCTTGCTTCAAGAATGCGAGATATAATCCAATATGGTTGGCGAACCTCTTCCGTTCTGTAAAAAATCATTTTCCCAACGTATACATCCTCCAACCACTTGTGGGCAAACTAAACCATCTACCCGAATCCTCAGCAGTAATCTCATACATTCCCTTCCCAAAATTAAACCTTAATATATCAATTCCATGTTAGTGCATAATCCAGTCCAGTTATACCTCCAAAGGTTGTGATACTGCTTCTTGTAAGGGAGAGCGGTTGCTTCTATTTTGATGGTTCTACAATTTCGTATTTACATCGCCGTTTTCACATAAAGCTAGGCTGAATATCCATGGTGTCCGAATGAGTTGGTGCAGATCCAAGAGAGGAAGAACAAAAAAACAACAGACGATGTATTCAACAGCACCAATATGTCCATTATCGAGCAATAGTAAAGTTCTACAATATGTCCATTATTTCTCTGCTGTCATATGCTTTGCTCATTCTCAAATCGAAGCATATAACATTTTTATTTTTGGTAACTCGATAGATTTTATTGCACCCAAGGCCACTATCAACTAGAAAAGACCGGATGTAATTAGAAACTTTTGGCCCCGTGAATGTACTTGTTAGAAAATCCAACCCAAAAGTGTATTAGATGGTAGAAAGTCCAACTCAAAGCCTTCTCGATGGAGGAGACTTAATATAAAGAGCATTTGCAACATTCTTTTAACTACGCACATTCACGTGGAATTTTTACCGCGCACATTCGCGAAATGGATAGCATTGGCTCTGATACCATGTTAGAAAGTCCAACGCAAAAGCTTAAGCTATTAGATGGAGGGAGACCACATAAATATAAAGAGCATTTAGGACATGTTGTCAATCAATGTGGGATAATACTTCAACAGTACTACTCTTACCGGATTATGCTATTCACTTCATGCTGGTTGATGGTTATATTTCATAATTATTTGCATCTCTCTCGCTTCTTCTATTCCGACAGGAATGGAGAGGATTGACCCCTGGCATTGTTGATGAGAGAGATAATGATGGGAGAGATCAGATGTGAACTGGAATGAAGATCCTCACAACGTCAGTTTTGTCGGATGGAATAGTTGTTTCACTAGAGAGATTGGTATGCGACATTGCTGCTTTGGATCGGTTTGAAGTTGCCTTTCAGTGTACCAGATATTAGCTGCTTAAAACTATTGTCGAAGCTTGAGAATCGACACGGACATGGTAAGACACTTTGATGCGACAACTAGGTTGAGTGATGTGTCTGGCTAATGTTAAAGGAACGGAGAGGGAATGCAATGTCTTCCCTGTACAGACCTTTTAATCTTTGACACAATTGATGGACACTTCCCAAAAGATGAAGATCATATTAGATTGATCGAAACTCACTGTCTCAGAATTTCGAGCATGAAGAATTGGCATCATTGATTGGATAAAGAGAGGTGACAGAGGTCTATGTCATGAGTTTAACAGAGCAGCTTGGAAGACCATGGTCATTCAACAAGCATCCACTTAATTTCTGTAATCAATGCACTCCGCATCACAAATCATAAAAGAAAGGGAGGGAAAAAGAAAGCTCCTCAACGTGTGGGTGGCATGATGGTGCAACCTGTATTTCATAATGATTTTGAACTTGAATTGAAGGAGCAGACATTCGAGAACATCCGGTAGAGACAGGAAAAAAAGGGAAAAGCAAAAGGCATTGGGATCAGGATGACCCAGTTTTTATTCATTTTTTTCGTCTGTAGGATGACCCCAAGAATAGCTTCCTCCACAAGTTGCGACTTCGACAGGCATTTTTTTCGACAGAACAAGAAGTTTTTGATGCAATTTTGAACATCGATTCTTCGTAAAATTCATCATTTGTTTCGCTTGAACTTTCTTCTTCCTTGGTGTCTATCCAATTGTCTTCTTCTGAGTCTCTTTCCTCCAAAGAACGGTTTGTTTCTATCGGCTGATGGTGTTGGAGCACGGTCCTCAGATCATTCTCCTGTTGCTCGCATATTAGACGGAATCCACACTTCTTCAATCTTCCTTTTGGTTCTTTGAGGCAAACTTGGAAATGGCTCCAATCGTCTCGCAGAAGCTCCCTTTCTGGAGATATTCAATCCACACATGATCGGATTTCATTGAATGAAAGTGCCTTAACAGGTGAAACACGTTTTGGACATTAACAAGAATTTGGATGTGAAATAATCCTTTGACCGCTTTTCCTTTCTTCGGGCCAAGAACAAAACAAAGTGCTAGTCCTAAGAACTTGTCATACAAGTCCCTGGGAACCATGAAAGATATGGAACCGCCTTCACAGTGGGGAAACCACTCTGGCATCTCTCTTCCAATCAGGAGAATGCCAACATTTCTCTTCTTCGGGAGCTCCTGTCATACAAATAGTACGCATATCAAGCATTCAAAGTTAGTTTGTGCGTGTTAGTGCGAGAGAGAGTCTAACCTTGAGTGATAACAAATCAACCATCTTTGCCCCTTTGCGGAATAATTCACGACATGAAGACAAGTCAACCAAAAGGCAGTTGGAGGAGAGACTCTAACAAATCTGGGAATTCTTGTAGAGATTTGCAATTTTGTGCCCATAGGATATGCACATGTGGTGGAAGCTGAGGAATCTTTTGTAGCTGTTCGCATTTATCCACAAGCAAGTGTTCCACATCATGGTATTTACTGATACATGTCGGCAGATGAGTAAACTTGTTTAGGTGCGTCAATTTGGGAAAACTCGAAGAACTCTCAAGGAACTCTACTTCTGAGAGATTGTAGCCATTAAGTTCTAGGTAGTGCAAATTTGAGAATCCCGGATTGCCAATAGGATCAGTTGAATCCTCCAAATTCTTTGGAAACGTGACAAAATTGGAGCAGCCTCGAAGACTCAAATGCTCGAGATTTTGCAACTTATAAACACCTGATGGGAGCTTTGGGAGTTTTTTGCAATTTCTTAAATGCATTTTCTTCGCGGAGAAACGATTTTCAATTGATGTAGGGAGTTCTTTAATAGCCGTTCTTCCTAGATTAAGTTCTTCTAGATGTTCCATCTTTCCCCGTATATCAAGGAACTTCTTAAGTTTAGAGCAACCAAACAGATCAAGGGTTTGACCCACCAATCGGTGGCGCGTTGGTTGCGCTCGCCTTTCACGAGAGGTTACGGGTTCAAACTCGCCCATCGGTGATTTAAGTGGGGGTCG